TGTTTAAAACAAAGAACATTTAACTACCCTTATGTTTAGTCTATTCTAAAGCTACAAAATTATAGAAAGCATATAATAATACCACGATGTTGCTATAAAATTTTAAGGGCTAAAGCTATCACCAATTTATCTCAAAATTCCTACAATAATTCTCCTAACAATATTAAACATTTTCAAATGATTTAATAGCTCTTGGTATCAACATGTATATATATGAACTAAGTACACTAACAGATAGAGCACAATTTTAGGAACTTAACAAAATTTATTTCATAATTTTTGGACACCTACATGATTTTATATGATTTACCAAAGATCAGCTCAAAAATTATATTAGAAAACTATTTCTAATTCCTTATGAAAAAGAAAAATGAATTCTCCCGCGCGGTGGCCCGCGGTGCGACCCACGCGGCGTCGGCCCACGTCCAGACGGCTCACGACGAGGAAACCCCGCGCGCACTGACATTTTTGCAAAATAGACCTCGCACTTCTCCCGAATTACAACTAAGTACTAACATTATTTCCCCCTCTCTCATAACTTCTCACTTAACCCCCTGGCCTTTCCCTAATTCACCCGCGTGCACCCCCGACGACTCAGTGCACGGTGGCACGACGAGCGATGGCACTGAGCGCCTACGCAGGCCACCTGGGACCTACATGGGCCCACCTAACGGGTCGATCACCATCTCTGACCCGAGCGACTATGTTAAGAGGCGGTGCAGGGTGACACGACTGGATGGGGAAGGCTGCAGCGGCGTGCGGCCATCCACGACGGCGGCGCCACTGTTCCGGTGGGCTGGGGTAGCTACAGGCCTAATTGATTAGCGCGTGAGCGTCAGGAGGCTACCATGGACCAGGTCGAGGTGATAGTTGGGGTGAAAGATGACGAAGGAAGGCTGGCCACGTGCGGTCGAGCCGTGCGGTGGCGCACCGCGGCGGCACGGTCGTGTCAGCGACGAAGGGGAGGCGGTAGCAGTTTGACTAAGGCACACAAGGTGGAGAGGGAGTCAAGGCGATGCTAGTGATGCAGGTGAATTGGCTCGGGAGAGACGATGGGAGAGCTGCCCACACCCGTGGTCGGACACGGCCTTATTGGCACGGCGACGGGGAAACTCCAAAATTGGAGCTCGACCAGGCGCCATTCAAGGCGAGGTGGGGACGGGTAGCCTAGGCAGCTATGCGATGGAGCCAACAACGAGACAAATCGACTTGAGATGATCTCTCTCTGACAAATTTAATGGCATGGCTCGACGGCGGCAGCAGAGAGAGAACATAGAGAGAGCAAGGGAGTGGTGGGGAAGGGGCATCCGTAGTGGCGGAGCTGGTGAAAATCAACGCCTAGGGCCACCAAGCCGCCTAAGCAATTCATAATAGGCCCTACTGATAATTCACACAAGCAACAAATAAAATAATAACTTATTCCGGCAAGCCTATTTTATTTGCAAAGTCACATTCAGGAAAGCCTATTTTGGCGCATCAAATAACTTGAGCAAATTGCAAAAATATCATGTTCTAGCATACAGAAAGGTGAACTTATTCAGATCCGCATTTTAGTACCACCTTAAACAGGCGAAGATCGATGAATAACAATAGGAACATTTAAAAAAAGGATTATCTTCCAATGATCAATGGAGCAATCACCGTCTACTAACGAGTAATCAAGAAAACTAGAATGGGTCATGCCTTAAAAAGGAGATTGGGAAAATTAGGAGCATGGAGTACCAGGCCTAAACACTAACATGCTTGCTTGCTTCTCCCATGGACACGAACGGAGTCAACACCGATTGCCGCCACCGGGACACCCAATTGCACGCAGACGACACGAGGATTGGAGAAATTTAGTCGCGCCTGCTCGCTTAAAATCCAAGCATTGCACCAGCTCACCTCCAATCCAAGGATACGCCGCTCTGAATTCCGCGACGCCGTCATTGAGGCGCAAGCCGTGGCGGCTATTTGGACTTGGGTGAATGGCCGAGCCGCAGAGCAAGGCAGCGGGCAAGGGGTGCGACAAGACTATGAGAGGCGTAAACCGGGGCTGTGAGCGTGCGAGCTCAGTGATTTAATGATTGCGGCGCATTTCGTTGTGGGCCAACAGACTAGGGCCTCTCATTTCTGGAACGGATTGGGTCAGAAAAAATAAGAGCGGTATAAGGAGTTCCTTGGGCCACGCCTAGGGCCACGGCCCTAGTGGCCCTAGGCCCAAATCCATGGCATGGCGGCAATGGCGACTCGATGCAAGGCGTGCCTTGATGGGGACTTGTTGGCGCTGGCGGCGCAGCCCGTGGCGAGCACTAGCCGACAAACACACACGCCAGAACGGCAGGCGTGGTTCGCGCTGATCGCGATGCCATAAATGGCAAGCGGCGACAAGGCCATGCAACAGAGCCAATGGCCAGCAGTAGGCGGCGGCGGCAGTGTGGTAATGCGACGGTGGCATGAGAAGCGGCGTACGCCGCGGAGGCAAAAGAAGACCAGCGGCAGTGGCAGCGGTGGCAGGGCTACGGAAGCGCAGAGCCGGTGGCCTAGCGGTGCAACCAGAGCGGCCAAGCCATGGCAAGACCACAATACACGGACCGTATGCGTGTCGCATGCGCACAAGACCACAACCCAGCTGGCGAGCGGGTCGGCCACGCATGGTGACCACGCGCACGGCGCCAGACAACACAAAGCTGTGACGTGCACGAATTTTAAAGCGCTGATCACGACCAAACCGTTGCTTCTAAACCTAAACCGGTTTTACTACACTCAAGATGGCATATGGAACTACTAAATCGAATCATAGCACTACACCACTCCTCACCCCAATGTCTTCAAATAAAATTGCTAAACATAACAGCGTCTAGCTGTCCACAAGCTTAGAAATTTTCTAAGTGTTTGAGATAATCTTAATTTCATATTGCATTTCTAAACTACTGAAAATATTACTTAGCAATATTCTTTTTCAATACCAAGTATTTCATTGTTATATATAAAGTTCTCATTTCAAACTTCATTTAAGTGTCACATACATGTTTTATAGCATTTTTCTTAATAAAAATTGGTTTTAAACCCTACTTGATATACCTGAACTATTGAATCAATTTTCGTTTAACATTTTATTGATAATTTTAAGTTACAAGAAATTGATCTACATATTTTATCACATGCATTAACACATAAACATGATGCTTATGACATGTTTTAGTAAATGATTTATGGTGTAACACCGAAGGTGTTACCGGTACCTAGCACCAGACAATGTCCCAAAAGACGAACAAAGGGAGAAGTCAGGGATTAAGCCGTTACAAACATATCACACCATTTGGCCACAACCCATCTATTTTGCTGAGGGAGGTGGTGGTCTTGCCGATAGGAACGAAGCAATCTTGAGAGGCCAGGGGCCTGGCCGCGGAATGGCGCGTCATGTCAATGCTTCCATATGTCCCAGCAATAGAGGGCCATTGTTGGTTCAAAAAGTAGTCACTTCTAATATATATAGACACTCGAATTTTCTAAAATGTCCTTCATGAAGCCCACACTCTAAATAACACGCAAGAGTGGAACTATCCCACTATTTTCTCGGGCATCAAATGAGTCCAATGCATTTTTTCATAAATTTGCTTCACCTCGACACAACCTTCACAAATGGTGCCACACATACTCTAATTCGCTACCCATGGTTTTGAGGTTCCCACCAAACAAATCAACACCTGGCTTAAATACCAGATCAACAAACTATCAATGTTGGCTTCGATGCCCAAATCAGCAAAAGCATACACCTACAGGGTTTGTGTCTCAAACCATCAAACCCTCTTGCACGCATATCAACATGTGACCCTGCTAAACCCTTGACACCTTCAAGTTTTTGCACTCCCTCTCCCTCTCGCAGACTATGTTAATCACGTAATAACCAACATGAATGACAAAATATCCGATGCACCATACATGTGACTACACGCACAAATCAACATATGCAATATAATGCACATACACACGAGCTCAAATGTATGCACTCCGAAAGAAAGCTTGTAATCACAATGTGCACAACCTATGCATGCATGGTAAAAATCTTTAAACAAATTCAACTACAAGATCAATTGTTCATCATACATAGAGGATACTCAAAGGTACATCACACGTTGGTCTTGCATGGCCATATATAAAAATTGTCTCAAATAGATTCACAAAAAATGTGTCAATAATACGCCTTGCTGATTTTTTTTTTTTTGTAAATAAAAGGACTCCATGATGATTTTTGGTGAAGGTCGTGGCCGTCCGACGAAATGTTCCCTGCCAGAGAAACATGTGTACCTTATCCCATGGCAACATCCAAGGTACCCACAGCTCCAACTCCTCCAACTTAAAAATTAACAAATAAACCAAAGAAAAATCATCCATCCGTGTTTGCACACGGCGGGAGGTGAGGCACTCAGACTCAGCCATGAGTGAGGAGCAGGACGACCGAAAGCAACTACGCGCACAAGTAAGTGTATAATAAAAAAAGAAAAAGAAAAACTTGAGAAGGAAAAACGAAAGGAGCAAGAAGGAACGACTTGTGCGCGTCCTCTTTTTTTGACCACGCGAGCTCGGCGACGCCAGAAAACAACACCACCAACAATATAAAATCCCCTTCCTCTCTCTCTCTACAAACAAAACAAACGATTGCGAAAGACACACACGGGGACACGGAGAGAGATGAGAGAGAGAGTGATGACTCGACTGATGAGAGAGAGAGAGAGGGGTGAGGGGGGAGAGTGAGAGAGAGAACATCCGAGCTGCTTCGTGTCCTCCTCCTTCCTTATCTCTTTCACAGCCCCACCTCCCCCCGCGCCCCGGCTTTTCTGCCCGCCATCATCCATTATTCTCCCTCTACATATACCCCCTCTCACCTCACCTCTTCCTCCTCAACCCACCCAACTCCCACCCCCTCACCACCGTGTGGTCCGCCCGCCGCCTCCCCCCCTCCCCCCAGCAAAGCTGAACGAGAACGCGCTGATTACTACTACTACTAGTACCCCAGCATGTGCTCAGGACCTCGCAAGCCGTCCACCCCTCCTCTGCCGGCGGCGACGGCCAAGGACTCCTCGGTGATGACGGCGGCGGCGGCGCTCCTGCTGGAGCTGGCGGCGGCGGACGACGTGGTGGCGTTCAGGCGCGCCGCGGAGGACGACAAAGCCCCGGCCTTGGACGCCGTGGCCCACTGGTACGGCCCGTCCGCCGCGGCCGCCGGCGGCCGCCTGCGCCTCGAGGCGCGCACGCCGGCCATGGTCGCCGCGCTCTACGGCAGCACTTCGGTGCTGGCGTACGTGCTGTCGTCCGCGCCGGCAGAGGCTGCGCGCGCGTCGCCCACGGACGGCGCCACGCCGCTTCACCTCGCGGCGGCCGGCGGCGCCCCGGCCGCCGTCGCGGCCACGCACCTCCTCCTCGCCGCGGGCGCGTCCGCAGACGCGCTCGCCTTCTCGGGGCTCCGAGCCGGGGACCTCCTCCCGCGTGCCAACGCCGCCGCCGACAGGGACCGGGCGCTCCGCGTGCTCCTCAAGTCCCCTGCCGCGTCTTCGTCGTCCTCGCCCAAGAAGTCCGCCTCACCGCCGCCCCTCGCGGCGGCCGCGGCGCTGCCGGCGGAGCCGAGGAAGGAGTACCCGCCCGACCTCACGCTCCCGGACCTCAAGAGCGGGCTCTTCAGCACCGACGAGTTCCGCATGTACAGTTTCAAGGTGAAGCCCTGCTCCCGCGCCTACTCCCACGACTGGACCGAGTGCCCCTTCGTGCACCCCGGCGAGAACGCGCGCCGCCGCGACCCGCGCCGCTACTCCTACAGCTGCGTCCCCTGCCCGGAGTTCCGCAAGGGCGGCGCCTGCCGCAAGGGCGACAACTGCGAGTACGCGCACGGCGTCTTCGAGTGCTGGCTCCACCCGGCGCAGTACCGGACGCGCCTCTGCAAGGACGAGGTCGGCTGCGCGAGGCGCATCTGCTTCTTCGCGCACAAGCCTGAGGAGCTCCGTGCCGTGAACCCCTCCGCGGTCTCCGTCGGGATGCAGCCCACCGTGTCGTCACCGCGCTCCTCGCCGCCCAACGGCCTCGACATGGGCGGCGGTATGCTCAACCCGGCCTGGCCCTCCTCCCCGGCCAGCAGGCTGAAGACCGCGCTCGCCGGCCGGGAGCTGGACTTCGACCTCGAGCTGCTCGCGCTCGACCAGTACCAGCAGAAGCTCTTCGACAAGGTGTCGTCTCCCAGGGCCAGCTGGGGCTCGGCCGGCGGGATCGGCTCGCCGCTGCCCGCCGCGGCGCCCGCCAGGACCGTGCCGGACTACACGGACCTGCTCGGCTCCGTCGACCCGGCTATGCTGTCCCAGCTGCACGCGCTGTCGCTCAAGCAGGCCGGCGACATGCCGGCGTACAGCTCCATGGCGGACACGCAGCTGCACATGCCGACGTCGCCCATGGTCGGCCCCAACACCGCGTTCGGGCTCGACCACTCCGCCATGGCCAAGGCCATCATGAGCTCCCGCGCCTCGGCGTTCGCCAAGCGCAGCCAGAGCTTCATCGACCGCGGCGGCCGCGCGCCGGCCACGCGCTCGCTCATGTCGCAGCAGTCCACCACCGGCGCGCCGTCTATGCTCTCCGACTGGGGATCGCCGGGCGGCAAGCTGGACTGGGGCGTCCAGGGCGACGAGCTGCACAAGTTCCGCAAGTCCGCGTCTTTCGCGTTCCGCGGGCAATCCCCGCCGCCCGTGCCGACCCCCGCCGAGCCAGACGTCTCGTGGGTGAACTCTCTTGTCAGGGACGGCCACGCCGGCGACATATTTGCGCAGTGGCCGGAGCAGGAGCAGATGGTGGCCTAATTCACCGATCATCACTGGCTCATAGCATCTAGCTGACCAAAGTTCTTTCCTTCAATTATTTTTTCCCCTTTGTTTGCTTAATTTGATTCATATGAGATGTTTTTTACTAGTACATATATAGGCTGTTCACAATAATATTTGTTCATCAAACAAGAAGCATGGATGCCCAAAGGGAGCTCTATATTGATGATGAAGGAACAGCCAATATTGTACTACTTCCATCGGTTTATATATAAATAGTTGTACACACGAATTCCTACATACAAAGAGTTTATATTTATATTACTTGATGAGATATATATAAGATATCGGGAGGACAGTAAGATTTGATTCATGTGCTTTCCGCCTTACGATAATTGACAAACACTATGAGAAATTCCATGCTTATCTGCTTGCTGTACTCTTCTCATGGATGTGATTATCAGTATATATTCTTGATCCTTCTATGAGCATATCTTCCTTTGCTTGATTCTTCTTCTATTTAATAAATGTTTTCAGAAAACAAGTGGAATATAAGCAACATGCAAATTTTCTATCTCTACTCCTTGCCAAGTGGATGGTGGTAGGCCATAGGAGGTAGACTGCAGGGCAATCACAGGGTAGTTTAGTGGAGATGGTGGCGTCATGCTCCAGATCAAAATAAGTAAAGTAATTCTGTTAGAAAGCAAGCAAGCATTCATGCATGAACCTAAAGCAAAAACAAGGTTAACGAATTATTGCTGTGTTGGTGGGTTAGGCACAAAACACAATGGCCCCAAAATCTGGGCATATGTGCCACCAAGACACTAGAGAAGAAAATGACAATATTCAACTATCTACTAGGAGTAATATATATTTTTTGGTGTTGCCAATGTTGATTTCGCTTTGACAAAAATTGCACTTCTAGAACATTGGACTTCTTCCTCCACCCATGAACAGAACAGGGCAGATTTTCTCTCCTTTTGTCCTCCTGCTCCTTTCACTTTCTTGTATTTGCATAGTTTTTTTCTATGGTGATAAAACCAGGATCGTCGCCCATGCTGTCTCTGGCTTTTATATGCATGGTGCAGCTGTTATGTTTGGATACTCCGAATTATTGCTTCTAAAAAGTATTCGGTTCTTTAATCAGGCTCAATTATTGTTCTTGTGCAGTTGGAGCAGATTTTGGAGTATTGTAAGGCTATCCAGGTATTCAATCATTAATGATGTTCTGTCCTCCAGCCAGCCTCTCATCCTCGATGAAATTTTAGTTAATTTGTGCATCATGAAACATGCTGATATTGCTGTTACCTTGCTTTAATTTATCCGTGCACTTATATAGTGGAGTTGCTTCTACTTGCCTCCTCTATCTCTGCTCATCCTTTCTGCCCAATTTCTTCCAATCTACTACTACTTGGCTACTTCTCAGCCGGCAATCTACTACTATGTAACAGAAATGATTCACCAATTAAGGACAATAACTTGCTTATATTTATATTATGATATGATTATTAAGGTTGCTTACGGGGTTAATCTGGATGCAGTCAAACAATACTCTGCAAGACAAGGCAACTGCTTGAGTAATGACATCGATATCCGGTAAACTAAAACCTACTTGCGTCAGAAGCAGGTTAGCAGCTGTGTGAACGATTGGTGAGCTTGGTCTTCGTTTCATGGTGAGCCATTCAAACCTTGCTGCGAAAGCAATCCGCATTTAATTATTTTGTTTTATCGGCTCGACGACTCGCGACAAATCCTGTTGCCGATAGATAGGTTTGCAGTTTCACATCATGTGATGGCCTGTTAAGCCTGCGTTGATGTCCCATCTAAACGTCAAGTTCTTATCTTCCAAACACTGAATGAATAAGAAATGCAGCATCTTTCTTCCTTTCTTGCCCTGGTTAGAAAACTGAACATTTCTTCGTCTTCATTCATTCATTTCCAACTAAACGTGTAATTATATGGAAATGCGGCTAATGCAGTTGTCATGGACGTTGACATCAAGTTAGAAAGACATTTCTTCGTCTTCATTCACAGGACAAATTATATGGAAATGCTAATGCAGTTGTCATGGACATTGACATCAAGAGACCTTTCTTATGCAAGGGACACATCATGGACCTCATCTTCGTTGAAACTTCCCGACAAATTATTCGCTCCTTCATTTGTCTGAAGAAAAGAAATCCAAGAGCCCAACCAACCAACCTTACCTCCCTCCCTGGCTGAAAGTTTCCTTCCATGTTGCAACTTCGAAATCACATAAGATTCAGGACCCTCCAAAAACCTCTCACTCACCAATCTTATCTCTAGAGCTTGTTCGTTGAAGATGATGTGCTTGTCTAATCCATAGCGTGTGCGACAAATCTTGCAGTATCGGGGAACGGATAGTTTATTATCCTGATTAAAGACTTGGTTTACTGCACCTGGTCAGAATGTTATGTCATCCAAATACCAATTTATTTATATAAACCACCAGCATGCACCTTGGAGGCAGGATCTGCAATAATTTGCACGTACCACACCTACTCACATTCCGTTTAGTTAATCAGGTGCAAGTACACGGAGTTGAAGTTTGAATTGGTAAGGCACGTGCAGTTCCTGCAGTCAATCTCTGAACCCATCTTAGCTGCGATGTTTACAGTTGTGCTAGGTTTTAGACAACTTCATCAACCCTAGTCTGTAGCCTCCAATTGCTTATCCTGCACCAACATTTCTTGCTGGTACACATCTAGTCTAGGGATGAGAGCAGAAAGCAAAGCACACACAGCATCAACGCTTAGCTACAAAAGTTGATCATTGACCTCACATATGAGATGACCAAATATGTTGCTTCCTCCTTGAGCTGTCCTGTTGCTCCACTGTAAACCGAGCTTTTCCTACGGTTATTATTACTATGTACTACAGTAACTCCCCTCCAGTAGCGAGTTCTCCCAGAAGAAACACGTCACATAGGAGCAACTACTCTACTAACAGAATTGATGTCTGACAGGAGATCACTGAAATTTTGCGGTCCATACGTTGCCTGAATTCTAGACAGCGTCTAGATCGGGCAACTGTTTGCAACAGCGTCTGCAGTACTAGATTTCAGTGACATGTTTCAATCATGAGGAAACGCTGGCCACTGATTACAAGAAGGAGATGCTGCAGAACAGCTTGGCGAGTCTGTCTGAGACATGCATGGACCAAGAAACGTCCTTAGTGAATTGGATCCGTTTTTTTTTAGGTAAAGGACCTATATTTTAGATAGAAATATTAATCACGTTCCAATTATTTTTATAAATAACCCCTCCTTTGGATCAATGTTTTGCCAAAGAAAAATACCTCAAATTTACAAATGAGTCCTCGACGAGCGTTGATATTGAGTGCAGACTCGTCTGGGAAGTCTCGCTCGCCGACCCGAGGAGGTAACGGCCCGTTACGAAGCGTGGGGGATAGATACTGGGCCGCTGGTGAACGAGATGCATGGGCCGGGCGGCCTTCTTGACTCTCTTTTCCATCCGGTTGTTGACGAGCGAGCAAAATCCACTTCCACTCGACGCGGTGGAAGCTGGTATATGATTTTAGTCCTGCATCGGAGATTTCCTAACACGTTGACTCTTCCTAAAGATTAGCGCGTGAGCTCCGTAATCGTGTGATCAAAGTGTGAATTACTTTCAAGGGTGTAGCAGAGCGACTTCGTGGCAGTGGGGAGTCTGATGAGCAGGTAATGGACAGTGCCAAGGCTTTCTATGAGGAAGAGTCTGATGATGGTGAGTTTAAACTTGAAGCTTGTTGGAAGGTTCTTCGAGATCAACCAAAGTGGCATGCATACAATGAGGACCTTAATGGATCTCACAAAAGAAAGTATTCTGAGGCAGAAACTATTGACCTGACAGCCTCTGCTGATGCGGTCACTGATCTGCAGCGTCCAATTGGGTGTAAGAAAGCTAAGGAGGAACTCAACAGGAAGGGAAAGGGGAAGGTTTCTTCATCAATTATGGATGAGATTGACAAACTAATAGAAGGTAAACAGATACTGGACAGACACCAACAAATTGCCGCTGACAAGAAGGAATCAGCAAGGCTGACCCACCTTGCACCCCAAGAGAATAAGGAGGCAAAACTACTTGAAAAAGAAGGAAAAAAGCATGATAAGGAATCCAAATTGTTGGAGACATAAAGCCCTTCTGATGACTGACACAAGTCAGATGCATGAGGACATGAGAACTGAGCATATGTTAGCTCTTAAGGGTATGAGGGAGATGATTTTTCCCCACCGTGCTTCTGGACAGTAGTAGGCCTTGTTTACTTCCGTTTGTTTAAAGTCTTGATAGGATATTTGAGAACGTTTTTTATATAGTTTATTTATTTATGAAGCCTCATCTAATCGTCATGTGTCAGTCCAATATACATAAATATTTTGTTTAATATATGTTTTTCTGCAATCCAATTGGTTTCGTCCAATGCAAGTTCTGTACAAATCAAGTCCAAGACGGACTCTTCTTTCCCAAGTTGAGTCATTTTCGGTTTGGTAGGTAGTTGGAGTTGGACTTTGGCATATATCTGTAGGACTTGAAATATCTTTCTGTTGTGCTGACGCCTATAAATCATGCCGGTTCATCTGCCTCATCTAGTTGAAATATCTTTCTGTTGTGCCACGAACAAGAGCAAAATGCCCAAGATATAGCCATAAAAAATATGTCGCATCAAGTAGGATCATCTGCCTCAGATGAATTCGATGATTCGGACGATTCATTGCAATCATCAGACCTCGACAAGGAGTACGAAGGTTTTATGGCCGAGCAAGAAGCCTTTGATTCTTTTGCTGCAAGTATCGTGGCAAAGTTGAAGGAGCAACATGAAGCAGGATCATCTTGTCGTCGAAGCAAACCCAGGCTGTACATATTCAGGGATCATGAACATGCCCATGAGGAGCTTGTGTCCCAGTACTTCTCAGAGTCCCCTGTGTACACAGACTTAATGTTTCGCACAAGATTTCGGATGAGAAAGTCACTCTTTCTACAAATCGTGACTGCCCTAGGTGCATGGTCTCCATATTTCACTCAAAGGACAGATGCCACTAACCGAGAAGGACTCTCACCACTGATCAAGTGTACAGCAGCAATGCGTATGTTAGCATACGGCACCCCTGCAGATTCACTTGATGAGAACCTAAAGATTGGCAAAAGTACGACACTGGAGTGCTTAGGAATGTTTGCTCGAGGAGTGATTCAAACATTTGGACCAGAGTTTCTACGCCCGCCTACAGTTGAGGAAACAGAGCGCATAATACAACTCAATGAGGCTCGGGGCTTCCCTGGTATGCTAGGAAAAATTGTCTGGTTGCATGGAGAGGACAATACACCAGCGGTCACAAGCATGCTCCTACTATGATTCTTGAGGTTGTTGCTACATATGATCTTCGGATATGGCATAGTTATTTTGGTGTTGCTGGTGCTAACAATAACATCAATGTACTGAACCACTCGCCTTTGTTCATACAAGCATTGAAAGGTGAAGCACCTCAAGTGCATTTTTCTGTCAATGGAAAACAATATAATAATGGTTACTATCTCACTAACGGAATATATCTACAGTGGGCTGCCTTTGTGAAGTCGATAGCAGCCCCCCAAAGTGACAAGGACACAGTTTATGCACAAGCGCAAGAAAGTGCAAGGAAAGATATTGAGCGTGTATTTGGGGTGTTGCAATCTCGATTTAACATTGTTGATCGTCCAGCACGTAAGTGGAAAATGGTAGATGTTGGTCAAATCATGCAAACTTGTATTATTCTTCACAATATGATTATTGAAGACCAAAGACAGTCAGGTGCAATGTCTTTTGATTTAAATTCAACTCCAGGATTATTATATGCTCTACCACAGCAGTTTGTATAGGGAACAACATGTGCTTTTCTAGAGTACAACAAAGAAATGCTGCAATCCGTGATCGAGAGACACATACCCAACTTAGGAATTATTTAGTTGAACATATATGGCATCATCGTCTTTAGAATAGGCACAATAGCTGAACTTTGAATTATGTGATCTTTTAGTGCTTTGCAATAAATATCATCCCATTTGATTATCTCTTGCATAATTTGCACGGTTATATCAGATTTGTAATGAATAGCATATTTTATATTCCTATGGTAATGTCTACACGACTCAATGACATAAATAAGCTACATAGTTATGATTGTATACGATCCTATCATTCATTTGGTCCATGCATAATTTTAGGAATTATATATTACTACCAGACAACTTAAAAGTTGAATCGTCTTAAGATTACGTGGCAATTTATGAGATCGTCTATTAGACAGCACAAATGTACCTGCCTTAAAGGAGGTTGATAGGAGGTTGATAGGTGGCGCGTAATGTTGCATCCGTGAGACACGCTATGCGCCTTTTAATGTTATTCATCTCTTTTTAAAATTTGCATTAGAGATGTCTCGCCCTATCAACGCGTATTTTGTCTTTATTTATTAATCATGTCTCTTTTTATTCAATCTTTTAAATTAGTTAGAAAAACTACGTAAAGCTCATTTCCACCTTTATTACGTATAAGCCTCTATTCCACCTCTATTTATTAATCAACTCCTTTTGTCTTTTTTGTTCATGTCTCTTTTTAAAATTTACATTAGAAAATATTATGAAAGCTCTTTTCCACCTTTATTACGTAAGCCTCTGTTCCACCTCTATTTATTAATTAATTCTTTATACTCTTAGGAGTATATATATAGCACAAACACTTAAAGGTGTGTTTTTTTTTTTTTGTCTCTAACTCTAAATTTTATTTATTATTAATTATTTATACTCATGTACTAAATAATGCCCGTGTGTTACATCGGATCATGCATTTTTGTACACGCCAGTGACAATAGATTTAATCACAGTCAACCTGTTCGCTGGTTGGTTTCTGGACTGATAAGTCCGGCTAGCGCTGGTTTGTTGTGAGAAAAAAACACTGTATCATGGCTGATAAATCTGACTGAAATCAACAATCCAACAGACACCAGCAGTTAAGTAGTGTCCTTGTACCTGCCGCTGACACATGCTTCATCCTGGCACGGGCCTCCATGTCATGTGGTCACGGTACACGGGCGGCTGCCGTGGCGGACCTCATCATGCCGACGGATATGTACGCTGACCCGTCGGCCTCCATGTCGAACTTCTGGGGCCGCGGGACATCGGACTTCGTATGTGTCTGGTGGACCGAATACGATACGGGTAGACAGGACTTAGTATCACCAGGTAGATAATGATTTTATAGTTTTTTTAGGTGTAGATAGAGGTAGAGACTCAGTCTACTATTCTGGTCAGATTGTTATGTTATCCAAATACCTGATTAAAGACTCGGTTTATGTTATCCAAATACCAATTTATATTTTTATATAAACCATCATCCACCACCTTAGAGGAAGCATCTGCAATGATAGTTTGTAATTACCAAACCTACTCACATTCCATTTAGTTAATCAGGTGCAAGTACATAGAGTTGAAGTTTGAATTGGTAGGGCACGTGCAGTTTCTGTAATCAATCCGTGAACCCATCTTAGCTGCGATGTTTGTCATTTTGTTATGTTTTTGACAACTTCATCGACCCTTATATAGTAGAAGCCTCCAATTGCTTGCTATCTAAACACACGGGAGCTTCGCCACCAAGAGGTTAAAGCAGTTCACCGAAAAGATCTTGCATAAGGTGTCGTTGCCACCGCTGCCTCAGCCAAATGTGGAGGCACAACCAAAGTTGCCAACTCGCAGCAGGAGGATTGCCGCTCAGGTGCTTTCACGCGTCTCGGCTTCTAAGCGGGGAGAGGTGCTGGTGATGAAGTGGATGGGCTACCTCGAAGGGCAGACGAAGCCTTCTACGGCGTCCAAGGACGCCTACGACAACATCTTCGTCGACCAGCTCAACCCCTCGCATACTGAGGCAATGCAGCTCTTCCTGAACCACAAGGAGAGCGACCGAGTCGTTGCGCACGCCAGAGCGTCTGATCGCCAATGATGGCTACATAGTATGATTAGCGAATAATAGTCCATGATCTTCTTATGCTAGGGAGGGCAGAGTCGATTGTATAACACTAACACCCCGCCCTATTGTGCTATGTTCGTGGCGCTTCGTTGTAACTTTCACTATTTATCGATCTAAATACTAAGATGCGTAAATCTTTTGCGTATTCGAGAAAAATATCTTGCACGAACATTTTTTGCGGGTACATCTAGGGATGAGATGACCTATAGGATGCCTGACTGCCCATCTCAGTAACAACAAACTACTCCTATGTAGCTTCATCTCTCTCTTTTTTTTTTGAAGGGAAACTGGAGGGGGTGCCCCTACTGTGCTTTTATTTAAAATCAAATAAAAAGAAGCTTTTCCTACAATCGGCGTGTTCGTTGGTTGGTTTCTGGACTGATTTGGGCTGGCTGGTGCTGGTTTGTTGTGAGAGAAAAACACTGTTGGCTGGTTGAATAAGCCTGGCTGAAACCAACAAGCGAATAAGGTGAAAGGAGGTTCAGGAAACAAAGAAAGTTACAAAGAAAATCAGTAAAATGACACATATGCATCTAGCCATTGGGTAAACAAAGGTGCTAAGCTGTTCTTACATATGCAGCTTCATTTCCACCTTAAGCTCTTCTGATCCACTGTAAACTGAGCACTTACCGCCAGATACAGTAACTTCCCTCCAGTATCAGCTGGCAAGTTCCCCAAGAAGAAACACATCACGTAGAAGCACAGCACGGACTGTTGACAGAATTGATGACTGACAGAACAATTGACAGATTACTGAAATTTTGCCGTCCATACGTACGTTTGCCTGAATTCGTTCTAGGCCCAGCCCAGATCGAGCAACTGTTGGCAACAGCGTCTGGCTGCTACCTGCCAGTGCTAGACTTCAGTGCTATGGTCTTGTTTAGATTGGTAAGTTTTTTCACTCTCTCTTCATCACATCAAATCTTTTGACATATGTATAAAGTATTAAATGTAGATAAAAAAAAACTAATTATATAGTTTGATTGTAAATTACGAGACGAATCTTTTAAGCCTAATTAGATCATGATTGGATAATAATTATTAAATACAAACGAAAGTGCTACAGTGCCAAATATTAATTTCTAACACCAATCTAAACGAGGCCTTTGTTGCAATCATGAAACCGCTGGCTCCAAAGCAGAG